ACGGCACGGCTGGAGAGGCCTGAAAAGTATGAAGAAACAGAAGCACAGCTCAGATAACAGCCAGGTAACATTGGAAGAAGCCGTTAGTGCAGTGGGCAGGCGTCTTGGGGGTTACCTCAAGTACCCTCATGTACCCTCCACCTAATCCTCCTCCCTGCAGTCCAATCGGTTGGAACCACCCGCTTTTTGCGTGCATTTTCCACCCCCCCCCAGTAGACTACTCATGCAAAGCCGCAGCTTTCCGTGCCTTCTGGCCCTCAGCAGCCGAGGCGGGCGGCGTTAAAATTAAGTCAAGCATCAACACGGCAGTACAAACATTCCAGACGTTGGTTGTCATTCTTGTCTGCTTCATTTTGAACCATAGTTCAATGCTGCGCCAGTACTGAGCAATTTTCGCCGCAGGAAGACTTAGAGGAATGACACAGCACTGGGAATATTCAAGGAAGAACGGTCAGGTTTGTTCTGGGGTTCAGGACGAGGTCTGTCTCGACTATCCACGCCGGACCTGCAAGTGACAGACAGGATTTACTGTCAATGGCTGTTATGGGTCAGGGATAATGAGATTTTGCGAGTTCAGGGACTTGACATCTAAACATTCCAGGGTCTCGCATCTGCTGAGTAGCCCGCTGTGTTGCTGTTGCATGCGCCGGCTGAGACTGGCGTGCGCGCCTGTGCTCCACACTGCCGAATAAAGGCCAGCGCTAACCAAGTTCTGAAGCACATTCGACACACTGAAAGCTGCATTGTGTTCGTAGCTTCCTGTGGTGCAATCTGGAGGTATTCGACCTGAACCACACTTGCTGTGCTTCAGGTGTCTGTTGCTATGGACTGCCGGCCGGTGCATGACGTCACACAAGCCACGCAAACGGAATGACCAAACAAGCTTTTGTATCAACGAATCATGTACCCAAGGCAGCACACTCGGTGCCATGTCAGCGCCTCTGCCATTTCTTGCCGTGGCAGCAATGCCGGCCTGGCACGCACTACGAGAGTGGGTTGATGTTGAATCTACGGATTAACCGGTGGTCCGGAGTCAAAACTTGCTGAACTGAGTAGATTTGCTCCTGAAGTTGGTGGACAGTCACAATACAGCAATGGTGACAGTAAGTAGTGGCAAGAACAGCAGAAAGAGCAGACAGCAGCAGCTGCAACAACAGTGCGATTGGCAGCAGCAGCAGCAGAAGCAGCAGTGGTAGTGGAATTCGTGTTAGTAGCAGTGGCTGTAGCAGTAGCAGCAGCAGCCGTAGCAGCAGCGGCAGCAGCAGCAGCAGCAGGAGCAGGAGCAGGAGCAGGAGCAGCAGCAGGAGCAGCAGCAGGAGCAGGAGCAGGAGCAGGAGCAGGAGCAGGAGCAGGAGCAGGAACAGGAGCAGGAGCAGCAGTAGCAGTAGCACTAGCAGTAGCAGCAGCAGTAGCCATTGCAGCAGGAGCAGAAATAGTGGCAGTAGCAGTAGCAGTGGCAGTAGCGGTAGTAGTAGTAGTGTAGTAGTAGTAGTAGTAGTAGTAGTAGTAGTAGTAGCAGTAGTAGTAGTAGTAGTAGTAGTAGTAGTAGCAGTAGCAGTAGCAGTAGTACTAGTACCAGGAATAGTAGTAGTAGTAGTAGTAGTAGTAGGAGTAGGAGTAGGAGTAGTAGTAGTAGTAGGAGGAGTAGCAGTAGCAGTAGCAGTAGCAGTAGCAGTAGCACTAGCACTAGCAGTAGCAGCAGTAGCAGCAGCAGTAGCAGTAGCAGCAGTAGTAGTAGTAGTAGCAGCAGCAGCAGCAGCAGCACCAGCAGGATTCATTCAGCAGCGTCGCACGGTACACCAGTGCTTGACGAACGG